AATAGGTGCAGCCTTATTTCTCTTTCTCACGTGCAATTTATATGAGCAGATAGGGATATTTTCTTTTCCCAGGACGACCGAGTCGTCTTCATCAGATAACTTTCGAATTTTTTTTGTTCCGATTTGGTTGTGAGATTTTTCTCACGTTCCCCTCTCTCTTGCATAAATCGTACCTGAACAGAACCATTTTTCCCTCATTCAAATAGCGAGCAGCTTCAGTAAAAAAAAAAAAAAAGAAAATATGTTCTTTCACCGAAGTCTGCCACTAATTCCGGCGATAGCAACCTCGCAGTCTTGCCGTCGCAGACGAACGTGCATCCTTGGAGTCGTTCTCCTCGAGCAGTTGACGTCCACCATCATGGGCCAACCGGACTGAAGTCCAGCAACCGACTTCCGCCATTCTTTCCGGCAAGTCGTTCGCAAACAGTTCCCGCCGTTTTACATCGTCGGCGTCCTCTACGAGAGCAGTAACATGTTCGTGAACAACAACCCTGCTTTGTCGAGCCACACGATGTTCAAAGGATTCCATATTTTTTATTCGAGTTCCGGTCGTCCGTTCGTTCGAGTCCCGTTCGAATCGTCTGTTTCTAACCTTCTCCTTATCTTGATCTTTCTCGTATAACATGTTTCTGGATTTATCGTGCTCGTTGAACTGATTATCGTTAGTGTTGATTTTTTTTTTTTTATCGGATCGTATTCGTTTCGTTTGCTCATTTGATGCCTCGTGAATTTACGTGGATTGGAACTCTCGTTGTAATATAGATCTGTTATAATGTTGTCATTACTCGCGGATTCAGAGTCCCGTTTTTTTGTTTCGGAGTCTCGTTATAGTTACCCGAGCCGTCGTCTTGTTGTTTGCCATTCGTATAGCTTTCGAGCTGTGTGTCCTGTCTTTCCCGAGCAAACCCAATTTTATAAAATTTCGAATAATTTAAAATTTGTTATTTCGAAAATGGATTTTTGAAAATTTTTGGTCAATTTCCAAACCTGGTTATCTGCCATCGCCAAAATTTTGTTCTGCAGAAGCTGCCTGCTATTGTGGACCTTTCTTTGTTGCTACAGCCCAACCTACTTGTTGCCTCAGCCCAGGAAACTACTTGTGCGGCCCAAATCAATTCAGCCCAAGTCGCGGCCTACTGTTCCTCAACAAGAAGGAAACGCGCGGGCCATTTGGCCCGATACCAGACTGCACACGCCCGTTTATCCCTCTCAGCCCAGGCCCGCGAACTCTAACTCCCCATCCACCAAGCCCGCGAGACCCTCAGCTTGGTAGCAAGTCCATTGTGGCTTTTTTTTGGGGCTTATTTTCAGCCCAAATTGTGTGAGTAAGGCCCAAATGTGGGCAGTCCTTGGCCAGCGTTTTGGCAGTTCGGCCCAGTTGGCTTTTTAGCTAATTTTAAACTCTGAAAGCCCGTTTTTCGTACCATTTTAGATTTCTAAAATTATTATAAAATGAGATAAGGTTGGAAAAATTATTTTAAGTCTCGAGACCCCATATTTCTTTCGAGTCTTTTCTTTTCAAAATTTTGAGAGTTCTAGGTCCATATAAAATTCGATAAAAACCCATGATCCTTAATTTTTGTTAAGTGTGGGTTTTCGATTACTCCCGAGCAATGAGATAAATTATTGATATATTATCTCATTTATATGTAGGTGTTTGAGGAGTCGAGCCTCTGCCTACTACTGATCATTTTATTCTCGCCTATCTCGATTTCCCAGGTGGGTGTCGATAAACCTTACCATGTATGTTAATTTATATAAAAGCTTGACTTGATAATCTATGTATGCATGTGAACCGGTAGTCTATGAGGCCTAACTCTAGCCTTTAGAGAGCTGACTCCGCAATGGTGTATCGACGGTTTGCTCCTGTCTTTGTTGTATCGACAGTTTGCTCCTGTCTTTGTTGTATTGACAGGTAATCCGGTTTTTTTGTATTGACGGGTTAGGTGTGATCACATGAGCGTAGATTGTGTTTAGGGAGGATAGACTAGTCGATTTGTGTTCATATTGCGATTATGATTTTAAGTCATTATATTGATTATACTGCATGGTATTCCCACGATGAGCAAGTGTTCGCTCACCCCCACTGTTATATCTCTTTTCAGGCTGAGCTGGTGGTTGTGGCAAAAGACAAGCGAGGCGGGTCATATATTTGATATTGAACTATTTTATCTGCTTCCGCTTGTTTATTTATTATTTATCTCGTTGTCAGACATGTTTATTAATGGGATTGGAGACTGAACCGTATTTGGTTTTTATGCATGCTAGACTATAAATTTGAATAATTATTTTGGAAGTTATGAATTTGGATTATTCATATGATTAAATAATTGTCGAGGCATGTTATTTGCTGGCATGAGATGTTTATCGGGATGGTTGTATTTTCCCGTGAGTTTAAGCGTTGACTTAACTGTTGATATGTGAATTATTGAGTAGCACCCGTTAGATAAGGTTGTAAATTTATTTTCAAAAAAAAAATAACTCTGATTTTTGGAAAAATAATTCGGTATTTTTCTTTTAAAATAACGTGGCGTTACAGTTTGGTATCAGAGCAAGTTTACGTTTCTGTAGACTGCTTCTGAATTTGTTTATGTATTTATGTTATGACCCCTTGCTTCGTCCAGCCACGCCAGCTTAAGGTACGAGTGTTGTTTAAGTTGTTTAACTGTTTATTTGGGGCTTAGGAATTTGCCCTCCTTTCCTTTGATTAAATTGGACTTTAGTGGTTGAGTTGATGTGCTAAATTCCAACTTGTCTTATAGATATGGGTCCTCGTAGAGATCCTCAGAACTAACAGGCTCCACCCGCTCAGGGTGAAGATCATGGTCGTACGATTGAGCGGTTCCAGAACATGCGTCCCCCAACCTTTTCGGGAGAGGAGGGGCCGACAGCTTTAACGGAGTGGTTCCGTAAGCTGGAGAGGATCTTCACCGTTCTCCGATGCTCAGACGCCCAGCGCATCGAGTGCGCTGAGTACCAGATGGAGGGTGATGCCGCCGACTGGTGGACTGACTATTGGGTTCTGTGGCCGGAGGCTGAGCGGACTGCCCTCACGTGGGTGAGGATAAAGGAGATTGTTACTGACAAGTACATTCCCAAGAGCTATCGTGACCAGAAGGAGCGAGAGTTCTATAATCTCCGACAGGGTACCACTTCCGTTGATGAGTATGCTCGGGCCTTTACCTGGTTGAGTGTTTTTGCTCGGCACATGATCGACACTGAGGAGAGGAAGGCTCGTAATTTTAGAGACGGGCTTCGCCAGGACATTCATGTTTTGGTGGCTAGTCATGGGGAACTTCTTTTCGCAGACACAGTTATCCGAGCCCAGCAGATTGAGAGCTGCATGACCCCGATTGCCCCCGCCCCTTCCCACTATCATGCCCAGCCTACTCAGTCAGCCACCCAGCCAGCTATTTCTGCTCAGCCACCATCCGGCTCGGGCAAGAGAAAGAATGACTATCACTCAGGCCAAAAGAGGTCTAAGCACTCAGACCACAACAAGAAGCTTATGAGAGCTCAGCCCCTTCAGCAGGTTCCAGGAGGACAACCCCGGTGTGGGTCATGCGGTAGGGTCCATGCAGCAGGGGAGTGTGTCGTAGCTCAGAAGACGTGCTATAACTGCCAGCGACTCGGACACTTTGCTCATATGTGTCCCGAGCCGAAGAGGCAGAACCCGGGACAGCATCAGCAGCAGCTTCAGTACCCACAACATCAGCAGCAAAACCAGCAGCGACCCAGGCCCAGGCTCGAGTTTACGCTCTCACCAATGATGAGGCCGCCAACAACACATTTACCATGTCTGCATGCTTTCCATTTTAAACGTGCCTATATTTGCCCTATGTGATACTGGTGCCACGCACTCTTTCGTTTCATCCTGTTGCTTGGAGGCCTTAGGAATTAAGAACGTCAATAAAGTCGACTCTCTTGAGGTTAGTTTAGCCTCAGGAAAGTCGATTGCTACCGATTCGATGGTTCGAGGACTGCAAGTTGATATTGGTGGGAGGAAATTGGAGGCTGACACCTACATCGTTGACATGCGAGATTTTGACGTAATACTCGGCATGGACTGGCTTACCCGATACCGTGCCGACATCAGATGCCTTTAGCGCGAGGTGACTTTACTTCTCGACGACGGCCACTCTATCACCTTTTTCGGGGCAAAGACGAGAGTCGTGCCCAGAGTTATCTCTTCCTTGAGGGTAATGCGGAGCTTATCGAAGGGTAGTTGTCAAGGCTACTTGGTGAGTATGGTTAGCGAGGAGAAGAAGGAGTTGTCTCCGGAGAGTGTGTGCATCGTATGCGAGTACATGGATGTATTTCCAGATGAGTTGTCTAGAGGACCGTCGGACAGACAAGTTGAGTTCGCTATCGACTTGGTTCCCGGAGCCGGCCCAGTCTCGAAGGCACCATACAGAATGGCACCGAAGGAGCTGCAAGAGCTCAAGCCGTAGATCTAGGAACTTCTGAACCTTGGTTTCATCCGGCCGAGTGTTTCACCCTGGGGAGCGCCCGTACTGTTCGTCAAGAAGAAGGATGGGTCGATGAGGATGTGCATTGACCATAGAGACCTGAATAATCTAACAGTGAAGAACAGATACCCACTGCCCCGATTGAGGATCTGTTTGACCAGTTGAGGGGTGCCAGCATGTTCTCTAAGATCGACTTGAGATCTGGCTACCATCAGCTGAAGATTCGGGATTTCGACATTTCCAAGACGAGCTTTCGAACTAGGTATAGACACTACGAGTTTGTGGTGATGCCGTTCGGGTTGAGCAATGCGCCGGCAGTCTTCATGGACTTGATGAACTGAGTTTTCCATCCATACTTAGACCAATTTGTCATTGTCTTCATCGATGACATTTTGGTTTATTCGAGAGTTGTTGAACATCATAAAGTCCATCTGAGGCTTGTACTAGAGACAATTCGCAAGGAGAAGTTGTACGCGAAGTTCTCGAAGTGCGAGTTTTAGCTTGATCGTGTGGCTTTCCTTGGCCATATCGTGACGGCCAGAGGCATAGAGGTGGATCCTAGCAAGATCGAGGCAGTGATGAGTTGGTGTACGCCGAAGAATGCCAGCGACGTCTGTAGTTTCCTGGGCTTAGCAGGATACTACCGCAGATTATCCGAGGGTTTCTTGAAGATAGCCCAACCGATGACCAACCTGACAAAGAAGGCGACAAGATTTGTTTGGAGTCCCGAGTGTGAGGCTGGTTTCCAGGAGTTGAAGCGGAGACTTACCACAACATCCGTATTGACCATTCCAGATCCGACCTTGGAGTTCACCATCTACAATGATGCTTTGAAGATGGGTTTGGGCTGCGTGTTGATGCAACAGGGGGGAGTCGTGGCATTCTCATTGAGGCAGTTGAAGCCTCACGAGACGAACTATCCCACCACGACTTGGAGCTAGCCGCAGTGGTCCACGCCTTGAAGATTTGGTGGCACTACCTTTGCGGAGGCAAGTGCGAGATCTTTACCGACCATAAGATCCTGAAGTACATCTTCACCCAGAAGGATCTCAATATATGG